GCATCAAACTGTTTTTACGTATGTGAATATGCCACATTGAAACCCATCATTCCACACACAAACAAACACAACTCTGGCCTGAGTTGGGAGGTCCCTGGATCTGACCACAGTGTCTGACTTGGCAGTGGAGAACTTGTGGCAGGACCAGCTGGGCAAAGGGTCAAGTGCATGGGGCAAGAGTCGCAGTTCCTGGGCTGGAAGTGAGAGTTCACGAGGGTCCTGGAGCCCGTGCTCCTTGGCAGCATTCGCAGCACTCAGAAAGTTGTTGCAAATGCAAAATTTGGGAGTCTCCCCCAGCCCCTGTGAAGAGGAGGGAATGTACATGTTAGCATGCCCTCCAGGCGATTCTGGAGCACGCGAATGTCTGCCAAGCTCTGGCTTAGGGTGCAACTGACAGGGCTTTGGGGACTGAGCCCAGGAGTTTATTCCCATCCTGCTGTAGGTGGAGCTGGGTAGCAGCAGAAGGTGCTTCTGTGGGGAAATTGATCATGGGTGTGTTCAGGAAGAGTATCTACATACACTGGGAGGAAAAACCAAAGGTGGAGAGACAGTTGTTGAGCAAGGACATGGAACCCTGCATGAAAATCAGACCTGGATCCTGGTCCTAGCCCCAGCAACGCAGATCTTGTGACTTGTGGTCAGTGGCACCCTTTCCTCCACCCAGATTCACTTCTGTGTGCTGAGAAATAAAGAGGCATTCATGTGTAGGACTCCCGTAACAAAATAACACTGTTTGGGTGGATTAAGCAACAGAATTCCATTTTCTAAAAGTTGGGGGCTGGAAGTCCAAGATCAAGGTGCAGATGAAATGGAGATGCTTGTTGTATTGTTTGGAAAATAATGGCAGGAAATAAAGTCTATAAATGTTCAATATAGACACAATTTTTTGATTTTTGCAATGTGGGGGATCCAACCTGGACCTTGTGCATGGTAGGCAAATGCTCTACCACTGAGCTGTACCCTCAGCACATAATTAAAATTTTTTTCAATCTTTGCTTGACTGAATTCGCGTATGCAGAACCTGCAGAGATGGAGGGCTGACTGTATATCTAAACAATTATAATTGACTAAAGATGAATATCAAGAATATACAAAGAACACCTGAAAATCAATAAGAAGATAATTTCCAAGTATTTTCTAATTCTGTACAGTAGGTTTTCTCTTAATACGATATCAAAAGAAACATGCCAGATAGACAAATGTGCTTCAAAAGCACATTTTTAAAATGACTGCATTGAAGTCCATTGCCTGGATCTACTAGAATTTATTCAACCATTTCCTATTAATGTTCCCTATAGTGTTATCATTAATTAACTTTTTTTTTTAAAAAGAAGAAAACTATGAGTCCCATATGTGTATATATATATTTGTGTGTGTGTATGTCTTAACTGTTTTAGTGACCAGAAAAATGCACATTAAAACTTTAGTAAAATAATATTCTAAGTAGACTCTCGTGGAAAAATTAAGAATTGTTGTAGAACTAAGTATTGATGAAGATGTAATTAAAAAAGAATTCTAATATGTTGGTGGAAGTGAAATTGATGAGGCTGATTATTTGCATACCCTCGTACATATTAAGTCCCATGGAATCTCTTGCTTGCATACACCAGGGCACAGTGTGAGATCTTTTCAATTTTTTTCCAACTCCAAATTGGAAAGTCAAACAACTAGATAACTAGTCAACTCAGTGGCTTTGTCACTGGATTGATAAAAAACGGTATAAACACATAAGGGACTATTTTTATAACAGTGAAAATGATTTACAGAGCCAGGCATAGTGGTGCAGGAGGATCACAAATTCCAGCAACTTAGTGAGACCCTGTCTCCAAAAAGGACTGGAGATGTTGCTGAGTGGTATAACACCCTGGGTTCAGTCCCTAGTTTAAAAAGAAAGAAAGAAAGAAAGAAAGAAAGAAAGAAAGAAAGAAAGAAAGAAAGAAAGAAAAGAAAATGAATTAAAGAATTACAGTTGTATACTACAATACACATATATCATAGAAAGAAGAAAGTTGCAGAAGAGAACACATGGCATGATACCATTCTCTTTGTCCATTTTGGTGTGTTGTTAAAAAATATTATGAACAAGAGATTTATTTCTCACAGGAGGCTGAGAAGCCTGAGACCTCTACAGCTGATTCAGTGACTGGTGTGGACCCAGCTCCTGATTCACAGATAGCCACTTCTGCTTTCTCACATGATGGAAGGGGATACTCTCTAGGGGCCTCCTTTGTAAGTATACTAATCCTCCTTACATCCTCTTCATGAGGGGTCTGCTTTCAAGACCTAATTTCTTCCCCAAATCCTCACCTACTAAGACCGTCTCCTTAGGGGCTGAGATTTCAGGCTATGAATTTTGGAAGGTCACAAATACCACACCATACCCTAGTTTTTATAAAGTTTCAAATATGTGAAACAAAACAATGCATTAGGGATGCAAAGAAGGGATTTAGAAACTTAAAAGAGAAAGGGCAAACCCAGGAGCATCAGGACTAATGCAATGGTAGTCCCCTAGTCCCAGATACTCCAGAGGCTGAGGCAGGAGGATAGTTGGAGCCCATGAGTTTGAGGCCAGCCGGGTCATCATAGCGAGACTCTGTCTCAAAAAACCAACCAAACCAATGAACCAAAACCAAATCCAAATAAGGATGCCATAGACCCAAAACTCAGGATTCAAGGAGCAGGGAGGTAGCGTAAAGGAGGAAGGCTTAGATGCAGCATGCATAGCAGATGTGTTCAAATTCTTAAGCAGGACGGTGTACCCACAAGCAATTTGAATAACCACATGCATTCCATGAGATTTTGTATATATTACATATTACATTATATATTTATTGTTGCAGTAATTCACTCGCAGGTCAGCATGAGAAAGAAAGAAGAAGCAGAGCAAGCAAAGCAGTAGCAGAAAAAAAGTCCTTTATTGTATACAAGCAATCTTTTTATAGTATTGTGAACAAAGAAGGCAGCCTTCCAACAGCAATAAATCAAGTCTTTCAGCTAATTAAACATAGCATACAGAAGTGTTACTTTCTAATCAGAAGTGACCCGCCTGGAGCATGCTGAGCTCTGCTCTTTGTTAAGAACAGATAATAAAAATTTTCTTAGTGCCCTCCTAGCCCACTTGGTAGAACATCCCGTTTGCAGGTAAATCCTCCCAAGGACAGCAGACACCTCGTTTCCAAGCATGTCCGCTGTTACCTATCTGTACCTTGACAGAATATCCCGTTTGCAGGCAGACTCCATCAAGGACAGTAATACTTACCCAGTCACATCTGATTTTCTACAATTTATCTTATTATTATTTTTTTTAAATTAAAACCCTAACTCCCTAATCTCCTCCAGACTCCTCTCCAAGCGTCTCCCCATTGCTCCATAACATTGGATTAAGTGCCACCTGGGAGCCTTTTCACCTAAGCCCTCGCCCTGGTGGCCCCTCACCCCGCCCCCCAGACCCCCCACGGTCTCGAGCGCTGCTTTCTCGCCTCTTTCACCTTCCGGACACGCTCGCCGCCTGCGTCGTTGTTCCCGCGCGCGGGTCAGCGGCCACCGTTTACTGCGCGCTGCGTTCCCGGCACCACGCTCCTCTGCCCTTCCCCCTCGATTGTCCCTCGCTGTGCCTGCCCCAGTGCCACCACCCCGCGGCTCCGCGGATCCCGGCTGGCCCATTGGGAACTCGCCAGGAGCGTTGTCCCCTGCGAGGCCTGGGGGCCGGCGGGGCCGCAGCCACGGAATGGGCCTGAGCCCGGCTGCGAGGGACAGTAAGTTCTCGCGCCACCTCGCTAGGTTGCCCCTGCCGCGCCTCAAGGCCGTTCGCAGACTCGCCAGTGTCCGGCCACGTGAAGATCAGCCTGGGCCAGGACGTTCAGCGGTGCCCCCCTCAGGTCTGCCTCGGGATCGCCAACCGTCCCCGCGAGGCGGGGGCCTGGAAGCCTTCCTGGGTTGCTCTCCGAATCCCAGCTGGTCGCTGGGCATGGTCGGCGCCGTCAAACCCTTCCTTGTAGACGTTTGTTGGTCGTGTTAAATAAGTTAGTAAGGAGGTATTTCCAAAGGATCATTTTTTTATTTAACTAAAGCGAGCAAGACATCTGGGGACTCCCTTCGCACCTCTTCATCCTCTCTCAGGTTCTGTCCCCAGCAATCCCAAAGTCTCCCCTTTGGGAAGCTGTGCACTCTCTAGCACCTCCTTTATCCCAAAATGTATTGAGGAGGAGCCTGGAGACAGACAGGCAGCGTTCTAGACCTGAGTTCCGCGTCCACCCTTGCATAACTCAGGGTACTGGCTCCAACTCCACTATTCTAGGTGTCAATCGCAGAGAAGGCAATTGTGGCTTAAATAACACTCCTCTTCTCTGAATTAGAAGAATCTGTGGGTTCCCAAGCACTGGTCCAGTTCCTGTCCAAGCAGCCTCAGCAGGATACTTCAGAACTCAATGAATGCATACAGCAGGGGTGAGTCTTTGCATGAAAGGACTGGGTCTTTGGATGGGAAAAGGTTTTGAAAAATTGACTTTGGTGGCAGTTCTTAAAACATATCTTGAAGGGGTTTCTGTGTGAGTCATCCTACCACCACCAGTAGTGAGCAGGAGGCTGGTGTGCTTCTGGTAATAAATTGCATTAGGCTTGGGACCGGATTGCTGTGGCATTCCTTGTAACAGTTTCTAGTCGCTGGGTTTTTCTCCAGACTTCTAAAATTTGAATCACTTTAGCAGGAGGCTTATGATACTGCTGGTCAGTCACTAACAATGAATGATGGAATTTTTCTTGCAGATTGACTCAATGTACTTTCATTAAAAGCATGCCACTTTCCTCCTTTAAACAAAAATGCCAAGGGGCTGAAATTTTGGAGAAGACCTGTGCTGAACACACCTTGAGTTCTGGAGATGAGTTAAATCCAGGGGAAAGGTAAAACAAGTCATTTTTTGAGTTGGTGATATAGCAAATGTATAGATATGCTTTCTCATTTCACTCTCTAGAAAACTCTGTGAGATAGATATCACCTCTGCTTTAAAGATGATGAAACTGAGGTTCAGACACATCAGACACATGGATTTACTAGCTCAAGGTTGGAGAGTGGGCAGTACAAATAGGATTCATACCTGGAATTTTTTTTTTTTTGGCTTTGAAATACTTCACTCAAACAGATTATCTCAATGGCATGTTCTTGCCTTCCATTTCAGTCCTCTTCTGCAAAAATAGACTGATTTCTTTCACATTACTTGCATTTATGGTGCTTTGTAGCTTAAGAAGATTTCTAGAAATATGGAGCTAATTATTGGAAGAAACAATTCAAGAATTCAGGAGGCCTTCCCCTGGGATGAGAAGGGAAGGCGCAGAGGCTCTTTACATTTCATTATAAAATTTTAGGTGTTTTTTTCCCCTTCCTCTTTTAATTAGTGTGCAAGTATTGTTACCTGAATAGTGGGCCAGAGGGCGGACTAAGGGGCTCCAACAAATCAAGTCTGCCCACTTGCCCCAGAAACCAAATGGAAAAATAATGGTGAAAAGCAGGAAAGGAGCCTTCGTCAATATGGCCATACTGGGCAGACTAGGAACCAGCATTTCTAGCTCTATCTTTGAGGCAATTGACATGAGCACCCAGATTTTATAGCAAGTGGTATCAGAAGTATGCATAGACCAGTAGTCTTGATCAAACTGTGGTCTAATTGATCATTATCTGATCTTTATCTCAGGATCATTGTAGATTGGACAGGGCATTGCAGGTGGCAATAAGAAAGTTGCTATTGCTTGGTGGATAGTTTTGACACATCCCAAGGTGCTTTCAGTGTAGACCTGCAGCTGCTGGAATCCAAGGCCACCGATTCAGTGCAAAGGAGACAGATACAAAATGAAGCCCAAGACGCCAAGTTTTTTCATCATAGATAGGCCCAAGTGAAATGCTTTTGGCAAAAGCAGCCTCTAAGTCCATATTATAGTATCACTTTGATAAACATTTTAAAAGATTAGCAAATTTTAAAAAAAACCCTGAAAAGTCAATTGAGAGGAGTTGGGGGAGAGGGAGCGAGAGGGAGGGGAAGAGAGGGAGGGAAAGGGGAAGGGAAGGAAGGATAAATGGACTCTGAAGAATAATGAATTTATGATATTTATTTGGGAATAAGTCAGGATTCTTGCACACGCTATGGAAATCATGAATGTGTTCCAAGGCATGTGGTAAAGGGAAACTTCAAAGGCAAAATGAGGAGGATTACATAAACCCTGTTCCATAAGGGTGTTCAAGGACCAATGAGAAGGTGGCACCAATCCAAGTTGAACAGTTAGTTGCTGGAAATATTCTTTTTTTCTAGGTTGCAGTGGTCTTTATGAAAGTTTGTGATTTTTGTGGAATTCCTTGCTATAGTTCCTATTATTGGGAAATTTGTGCATGAAAACCCACCCTTCATGGCCTCCCTCTGGCTGGCTCTGTTTCCATAGGGTTTGACATCAGTGACTCCATTTTGCACCTGACCACTTTCACATTACACATTGCTATCACTAACATTTTAAATAGACAGCAGAAAACCAGGAAGTAGCAATTGTTCTGTATGAAAGCAAATGGCTTCACAGAAACAAGGCTTGGGGAAATGTCTCCTGCAAAGTCCAAACCTGAAAGGTCTTAAATCACAAATCTGAAGTGATGGTAATACAGATTTCCCAATGATCGTGAAATAGTGTTGTTAAGGATGTGATTGAACAATCATTTAGAGAGAAGTCCATCATTAACGTGGAGACCACACCCACCCAGAAGAGTATAGAGTTGGATTCAACACCCAAGCCTGAGAGGGAGGGCAAGTTAATAAAGCAAGCAGCTGAGGTAAGTCTAGCAAGCATTCTTAGAGTGAGTATTTTGACCTTATGGAAACTGCATTATATATTGCACTGTATTTTATTTAGATTGTGTCTAATAATATCCACAACAATTGAGATGTCAGTTATGCTTTTTTTTTAAAAAAAATCTTACTGAGGTATAGTTGACCCATATTTAATTCCACATATTTAAAATGTACAATTTGATAGCTTTTGATGTATGTGTACAACTGTGATGTGAAAGCCATTGCCACAACTGAGATAATGAGTATCTCCATCAAGCACAAAAGTGTTTTTTATGCCTTTTTGTAATCCCTCTTCCCACCATGATGTCCCCATCCCCAGGTAACAACCAATCTCTTTCTGTCTTTGTGGATTAGTATGCATTTTCTAGAGATTTATGGAGTGAAATCAAGTTGTATGTGCTCTATTTATGTCTATCTTCTTTATAGAATTTTACATATTTATTTTGAGCTATATCCTTGTGGTTACTTGTTGTCAATACTTCTCTCCCCCTTTTTTTTAAAAAAAATTATTGAGCACTAGTTCTTGATGTGGATGTATCATGATTTGTCTATCCATTCAACTGTTGATAAGCATTTGGGTTGTTTCTAATTTTTGGCTTCTATAAATAAAGCAGTCGTGAATATTTGTGTGTGAAGATTTGTATGCACATGTATGTTCTTTTCTATGAGGTGATGCTAGGAATGAAATTGCTAGATGAATGGCAGGTGGCCTGTTTAACTTACTGAATTCCAAAGAGGTGTCATTTCATGTTCCCCCAACAGTGTCGGTGAGTTCCAGTTCCTCCACATCCTCATCAACACTTGGTGGTTTTTTTTTTTTTTTTTTTTAAATTCTGGTAGATGTTAAGTTTCTCATACTGGTTTTATTTTGCATTTTATTTTGCATTTCCCTCGTGACTAATGATGTTAAACATCTTTTCATGTATATCCACGTATATCTTCTTTGTCAAAATATTCAAATCTTTGTTTCTGTTTTTTCCTATCGGTTTGTGGGTTTTCTGAATTTTTCATAATTTCTACATATAAATTCATCACCAGATGATGTTTTGCAGTATTTTCTCTGTGGCTTTTCTTTTTTTTTTAATACTTTAAAAAAATTGTCAATGGACCTTAATTTTTATTTATATGTGGTGCTGAGAATTGAACCCAGTGTCTTACACATGCTAGGCAATCGCTCTTACACAGAGCCATAACCCCAGCCCTCTGTAGCTTATCTTTTCAGAACAGGTCTTAAAATTTTGATGAAATCCAATTTATCAATTTTATTGTGCCTTTGGTATTGTATTTAAGAAATCTTGGCTTAATTCAAAGTGACAAAAATTTCTCTTTTTTTCCCTAGATATTTTATAATTTTATATTTTACCCTTTCATATTTGATATATCTAGGATTAAGTTTTGTATATGTTGTCAGGTATGGATCAAAGTTTATTTTTTCCCTTAAGAATATCCAATTGTTCTAGTATCAGTTGTTTAAAAGAAAATGGGCTAAGGAACTAAATAGACCTTCACAGAAGAAGAAACACAATCAATCAACAAACATGTAAAAAAAAATGTTCATCTCTAGCAATTAGAGAAATGCAAATCAAAACTATTTCACTCAGAATGGCAATTATCAAGAATGTAAGCAACAATAAATGTTGGCGAGGAAGTGGGGAAAAAAGAACACTCATACATTGGTGTTTGGATTGCACATTTGTGCAACTGCTATGGAAAACAGTATGGAGATTCCTCAGAAAGCTTGGAATGGAACCACTATTTGATCCATATATCCCACTCCTCGGTTTATACCCAAAGGACTTAAAACAAGCATATTGCAGTGACACAGCCACATCAATGTTTATAGCAGCTCAATTCACATACCTAACTATGGAACCATCCCTTTAAGAGATGAATGGATAAAGAAAATATGGTATATATACATACAGTGGAATATTATGGCATTTTCAGGTAAATGGATAGAATTGGAGAATATCATGCTAAGTGAAATAAACCAATCCCCTCAAAACAAAGGCCAAATATTTTCTCTGATAAGTGGATACTGAGTCATAATGGGGATGGCGAGATGGGAAAGAATGGAGAACCTTTGGATTGGGCAGTGGGGAGTAAGGGGAGGGGAGGGGGCATGAGGTTGGGAAGGACAGTGGAATGAGATGGACATTATTACTCTAAGTATGACTTCACCACTGGTGTGACTCAGCACCTTGTACAGCCAGAGGAATGAGCTGTTGTGCTCCATTTGTGTACAAGGTGTCAAAATGCATTCTACTGTCTTGTATAACTAATAAAAATTTTAATAATTAAAAAGGGCTTTCCTTTTTTTATTGAATTGCTTTTGTATTTTTGCCATATAGCTGTGGGTCTCTTTCTGGACTCTACTTTGTTCTGTTGATTCTGTGTGTCTATTGAGAGGCCAATATTCCACTATCCCACTATCTTGATTACTTTAGCTTTATAAAGACTTTTGAAGGCAAGTAATATTAGTCCTCCAACTCTGCTTTTTTTTTTAATCTTCAGAGTTGTTTTGTCCATTCTAGGTTCTACAAAAAGTATGAGATTTTGATTGGAATTTCACTGAATCTTTAGAGAATTGTCAATTACAGTACAGAAACTTCTGACCAATAAAAACGTGTTCTTTTATTTTGATCTTGTTTAATTTTTATTAGCAATGTTTTATAATTTTCCTTCTAAATATATTTTATATCTTTTGAAATATTTGTGGATCTTTGGGAAGTGTCTCATGTTTTTGATACTATTGGAATGGTATTAAATTTTTTTTAAAATTCAAGCTGGGCCAACAAGCAGACTCTTATAATCCCAGTGGCTTGGGAGTTTGAGGCAGGAGGATTACAAGTTCAAAGCCAGCCTCAGCAATTTAGTGAGGCCCTAAGCAACTTGGCAAGACCCTGTCTGAAAATAAAAGGGCTAGAGATGTGGCTTAGTGGTTAAACACCCCTGGGTTCATTCCCTGGTACTCCACTCACTCCACATTTAAATTTAACATAAAAATTCAATTTTTGGTTGTTGCTAGTAAATGGAAACATAGTTAGTTTTTTGTATATTTATCTCTTATTCTTCAGCCTTGCTAGAATGACTTATTTGCTTTAGTAACTTATTTTGATGGATTCCATTAGACTTTTTGACAGATGATCATATCATCTGTAAATAAAGACAGCTTTACTCCTTTCTTTCTACCCTAGATGCATTTATTTTTCTTAAATTATGCTAGCT